TGGATCGAGATCAAAAAAATGTGTGGATTGTTTGCTAAAGCCAGACATTATTTTATTGGCATTCATTAACTCAAACGAACTGCAGAAGCAGCTTTTTATTAAAAAAGCAAAAATGATTCACAATTTTTTTTCTCAAACTATACTCTCTTATCGTGGATTAAAACGATAAATTTTAGTGGAGTTTGAGATGTTGATTCATTTTATGTAGAGTAGAAAATGTTGTTTCCGATTTATTTTAGATTCTTTCATGAAGAAGAAATTTCCTAAACCTCAGCTACAGAATTGAAATGTAAGATATGATGGAACCACTGGAAACGTAGGTACGAAACTTTCTCTAAGATCTATTACAATCACTCTACGAACGACAGAAAAACTTCAGCTCAAGAGATTAACTATAAGTGGTTAGTTTTGTAGAGAACTTGAGGCGGAATGTATAGGAATGAGTTAGTGGTTCATCACCAGCACATTCTACAAGATTTTTAAAATATGAATTTTTCGATTACATAATAGAATCCTGCACATATGAAACAGATACTTTCTCTATGCATACACTTGGACGAAGTTCAACGATCAACACAATGTAACGACCCTATCAGACAATCAAGCATTAATCACCAGTTGTCATGGAAATCGGTATCTGTTCTTGCAATTAGAATCATGATTGTTGTTGTAATTGAGTTCGACGAAGACTGTCATCATGAACAAGAAAAGCGAATAGCCTCAATTTCTGCTTATTTTTGATTAAGTGACCTCCTATACAATGTCCAATTAATGGCATATTCGATTTACTACTTAATCTAAGCATCGCCTGTTTTTTTTGACACAGATCGGTGAACAAATATTTCTTTAAAAGCTGAATTTACTGCTGGCTTTACTTACATGATCAGAGTCACTTTCTTGTTGTTGTTTCATTCGTTCATCCGCGATCGCCAGAAGTTGATCGATCTTTTCTAGTTCTTTGCTTGGTTGCGGCTGTTGGTGTGAGGGAGATTCTATGTTGCTTTGTGACACACATGAAAATTGTAACTTATCATGACGGATAAAAAGACTCTTGGACCAGGATAGACGTTCAATAGCATCTTTATTCATATTTGCTTCAAGTAGTTCTTGACCATGCTTGAGGAATTCATATCCCATATCACTTGTCATTCGTGCTAAAAGATCAGTCTCGAAGTCGAAGATTTTCACATAGTTAATGTATTGACAGGCCCACTCGCATGCTCGTTCTATGTCAACACAAAAAATATAGATTGAATCGTATGGTTTATTGGTTTTAGGATTGGTGAACGAGTGAGAATATCGTTTGAGCAGTTGTGCAACAGCCGATTGCCCAAGTTTGCTGGATGAGATGAACAAGATCCGATGATTCTGAATTTTGTCGATGTACTCCATACAGGCAGCTTCATCAACAAATGCTTTTAGAGTAAAATGAAAACTATCGAAGACCACGGGAATTTCAGATTGACACTGTATAATTTGGTCAATATCTTTATCAGATGTCTGAACTTCTTGACCACTTTCCGGATCAATATGTGTAAAGAAGATGCGTTTGAGTTGAAGACAAAAGTCAGGTTCTCCAATATGCGCATCGAGCCAAACGATGTGATATTTGTTAGGAAGGAATAACCGCGACATTTTCTGTTGTTTTTATCTAAAACAAAGTCTAATACACGAGAAAGTTTTTCTAGGTTGGCTCAGTCATGACTGTAAACTATTAAACACAATTTTTTAATCATTAAGAGAGTTCGCGAAATCATCACCCAAAATCACGGGAATCGGATCCCAAAATAGTTTACATATTGAAATTAATTAGCTAGCGTAAAAAAGTTGGGTCTAGAGATAAATTTTCAGGTGTTTTAGATGAAGTCTACGGTTGATATCAGAAACCAACTTGTTTCTTGTTGATGATCGATGCTTCAAAAGAACGGGTTTTACGAAAAACAAACTTGTTTTTCTTTCTTCGAATATTTGGACACAAAAACTTCATCCAAAATATTACTGTGTTCTACCAACAGGTGAAGTGTCATTCACTCTACAAAATATCATAGAAGTTCTATTTATAATGAAAAACTTGCATAATATTCTTCGGAATATAGAAAATATGAATTTTTTTCATCGACTTCCACGTAGCGTTTCGTGCTTGTTCATCCTCTTGGTGCTTTATATGTTAAGATCCTAGAACGAGTTTCGGACATGTTAAAGAGTATCGAACAACGTTTTTTGGACATAAACATGTGAAGGGTTAAAATACTAGCAAGGTACTCCAATACTCGCACCAAGGCTAACAATAGTCTATCATTCTCTGATATTTTCATGATATTCAACGTCATGATTTCGAAAAATATTCGAGCGTATCTCTTCATTATTTGAATCGTTTTTGATGGACTTTACATCGTTGGATAGACCATTCCATGATGATTACAGACGGTAGCTTTAACGATCATAATCATCATTGCGTCGTTAGATTTGTTTGATCGAAGATGTTAGACTCGATTCATAATTAGCGTTCACTGTGTCGAATATTGATTGACCAAATCAATCGTTTTGGCCAAGATTGTGAGCCGTTTCGCCGATTTGTTTACAATGTGAGAGAGATCCTATACCTACCACAAATGCATACATGCCGTTTAAATTGCATTGTGCCTAAACTGTAAACGAAAGGTGTAGAAAAATAAATCGTTTGTATCCTCCGTTCATTACTATTATATAAACGGTTTTTAAGCTGATGAGCGTAAACTACCCTTTCATAAATCTTGGCAAAGATCTATCACCCGTTGCAAATTCATATATCATTGCAGTGTTTTTTGTGTTAATAAACCTTTTCTGGGTATATGAACGGAATAAACCCTTAGGTGGAAGATTTATCATTCTACGATTCTATTTAAAACCTCCAATCATAAATCTATCAACTAAGGATTTATGCCGTTCATATACTCAAAAAGTGTTCACGAACACTGAAAACAGTATAAGGGTATATGAATTTTCAACAGGTCATAAATTCGTGCCAACGTTTATGCCGTGGTAATAATTGAATAGTGACGGTTTATTATTCTGCACTTGTTTTTTTACAGTGCGTTTTACATAGAGGAAAGACGTATTTTAACCTTTGAGTGTCCTTATCGCGATAAAAATTTTGTATCAGCCACGTGAGAAAAGAAATAACCTATTATCAGCAATAGCGATTCCCCGAAAAAGAATGAGAAAGTGTTCGAAAACGACCTCCCAACAGTAATGAAGAAATAGGCATGTGTTCTCTTTCGTATTTTGAATAAAGTTGCGTTGCAGCTTACTTTTCTTTCAATGAGTAAATATAATTTACATAGAAAAATGGTGCTGAGAGAATCGAATATCGTAAATATTGTCAAAAGTAGTCCGACTTATTGCGCTTTGCACCGGGCGCTTGTTTCGAAGAAATTTATTACTGGAAAAAGTAAAGCTCTGAAGAGATCGTTCAATTCATTACATTTTGGGTGTTGGTGTGGATGTAGATGGGGTGTGGGTGAGGATGTGAGTGAGGGTGTGGGTGAGAGTGTTTGTGTGGGTGTGGATAAGCTTGTGAGTGAGGATGTGAGTGCGGATGAGGATGTGAGTGAGAGTGAGGGTGTAAGTGAGGATGAGGATGAAGGTAAGGGTGAGAGTGAAGGTGAGGGTGTGGGTGAGGATATGAGTGTGGGTATGGATGTGGGTGTGGGTGAGAGTGAAGGTGAGGGTGTGGGTGTGGGTATGAGTGTGGGTGTGCGTGTTGGCGTGGGTGTGGGTGAGAGTGTGAGTGAGGATGAGGGTGAGGATGAGAGTGAAGGTGAGGGCGAGAGTGTGGATGTGGGATGTGTGTGTGTCAATGTGAGTTTGGGTGTGAGTGCTGTTGCGGGTGTATGATGTAGAGTGTTTTGTATGTGTCCATGTGCGTGCGGGTGTGTATGGGTTCGTGAGGATCTCTTCTTCACTCATAGGGACACCCATATTCACACCCACACTCGTATACATAAAACTTTGTACCATATTAAAGCAGAGAAAAAAATCTGAAGAAAGCAAAATAATGATTAAGGTTTCGACACAATAAGTGTAAGATTAATTAAATCAGATATTATGAAAAGCATACTATTGCACTTGTTGATATATATAGGGTGTCCGGAAAGTCCTTAGAGTTAGGAAAATTTTCATATCTCCTTTACGGCTCGACCAAACGAGCTCATTTTTTTAACAAAGATTGAGGCACGTTCACACTCCAAGTCCATATGGACAAGAGTATCGAGAATCTTTGTTAAGTATCACTATTGACCTCAACAAGAAAATTTTACTGTTCCACGGAGAGGAAGAAAAACCATATACTTAACAAAGGTTCTCACTAACTTTGTCAGTATGGATTTGGAGTGTGGATATGCCTCTATCCTGGGTAAAAATATCAGGTGGTTCGCTCAAGCCATAATGAAGAGAGTCAATTGTCTTTTCAATAAAGTGTCTTTTGCCCTATCCTATGTAATGTTTGTTTTCCTAACTGTGAAACAGTAAAATTTTCTTGTTGAGGTCAATAGTGATACTTAACAAAGATTCTCAATACTCTTGTCCATATGAATTTGGAGTGTGAACATGCCTCAATCTTTGCTAGAAAAATGAGCTCGTTTAGTCCAACCATAATGGAGATATCCAAATTTTTGTAACTCTAAGGACTTTCTGGACACCCTATATACTACACATGAGTCTCTTATCTGAGCTGATAGAATTAGATAAAAGCATGACAAATTAATATTTATGACACATGAAGAAAGAAAAAGAATATATGGTTAGATGTAACTTCCGGACCGATAGATGAATTCAGAATAAGATTTTCTAATAAGGGTGTGGGTGTGGGTGGGTGTGTGGGTGGGTGTGTGGGTGGGTGTGGGTGTGGGTGGGTGTGGATGTGGGTGTGAGTGGGGGTGGGTGTTAATGTGGGTGTGAGTGGGGGTGGGTGTTAATGTGGATGTGAGTGGAAGTGGGTGTGGATGTAGAATATATGAAAGATGACCCACCTACACCTACATCGTCTGAATGATCTTACTATTAATTATCTTGGTTATTATACTGATAATGGTGCTCATTATTATTATTATAATACAGAAAAAGGAATAAATTATGAAGAAACGATCGTCAATGTTTATCATCAAATTCTACTTCCATTTCATTATATTGAACTTAACTCATGGTGGTATTATAAAGGAATTCAAGATGATTTTTCTGAATGGACAGCTCCTCCAGATATATTTCCTAATGGTCTTCAAGTCGTCCATCGTAGATTAGAAAATATTCCAATAGCAGTACATAATCATTATTGGTCATATAATACTGTTTATAAACAAAATTATTCTTTTGCTGTTGATTAAAAAAAATGGACCAGCATTATCTATTGGAAATGATTCATTTTGAATTAATTTATGTATTCAAGCACATAATTGGGATCTTGTTCTTTATGAACAAGATTGGCTTGATCGCTAAACAATGGATTTTTATCAGCGTGTACTGGTATTCATATTGGTCATCAATGGGAAAAGCAGACAAAAAAAAGGAATAAATAAACAATATTGTATGAGTTTACCGCATCATATTTTACAAGCTTTACAAATTCCATGTGTCATGCATGTGCGAACATCAACTGATTATGTTTTTCATCTTGAGTTTCCAATTAAAACTCAATAAGCTGTCGGAATATCTAGTATGTTCGTTGATGCGATTGGCTTAGTGTCATTGAAAGATATGTTCTGATCTAGTTCATGAAAACCGGATACACCTTATAAACGATTATCTCATAAAGTACTTCCAGATTGTGAAATAGTGGTTGCAACTCTTTCAACAGGACCTGTAAGTCTAGGTGATGCAATTAATTATACAAACGTTGAACGTATTATGCGATGTTGTCGTCAAGATGGTTTAATTTTGAAACCAGATCGAGAATTGACGACGATAAATACGTTAATATCTGATTGGATTTTTCATGACACTGTCTCATAAGGAGAACTTTATTTAACACAAACTATAATGTAAGTTCCTCGTTTTTTTTTGTATACTTTAGTTATTCTTTTTTTTTTTGTTTAGAAATAACCAAACTTTCTTTATAATCTTTACATCATCAATGAAACCAGATTATTCAGTTTATCCTTCGATGATAAGAGCTCAATCGGGACTTATTTGGTTATATGATAATTCAAGCATAGTATCAACTTTTAATGCAAGTTTCCCTCTCGATGTGTCAGCTACTAAATGCAACCATTTATCAATATGTCTTTGGTATATAATACCTTTACTTTCATTAGATGATTCACTTGGAATGCAATATGTTCTTCTTGGTGAATACAATAAATGGACAGCTGTTCGCCAACAACAATTTATTTTCATAGTTACGGATATTGAAAAGAACCAAGCACAAGGCATACCTTCTGGAAAAGTTCCAATCGTTGTCTTTCATTCAGCACTCAAATTAGCTGCAACTGAATAAAAAAAAGCAGTACTCTAACCGAAACTCGTATACAGTTAAATAGTTAAACCAATTACTTTTCTAACTATATATCATTAATGGATATTCTCTTAAAATTCTTGAATAAAGCTGATGTTTCTAGTAAACTGATCTTAATAATTTATAGAAGAAATTTTTTCACAGTTGACTACTATTCCGTGAAATTTTCACAATCAAAAATTGTACTGGGAAGAAATAGCATAGTAAAGAATATCGAGTACTCTTAAGGATCTAGAGAGCTCAGTGCTTAAGCAAATGTATGCATATTTCTTAGCAAAGTAAGACCATAGCTGACGCTTCATTTTTTATGTTACAATATTGATAGTTACAAGAGTATTTGACATAAAGTTTCATCGATACTCTAGATTGTTCTTTGGATCAAAACTAAGAAAATGATCTTCTATGTGCATTATACAACGACATATTCAACTTAAAACTACTGACATGAGTAATAAAATTCTTTGTCAATATGTCTGAATGTATCATTATCAGATTTATACTTGCCATTGTACGAAAAATATATCAGGTTAAAACAAATATGACATTTAATATTTTTGAAGATCTGTGAAATATTCAACGAAAGTTTTATTAGTGATATATCATCATACGAGATCATTTTTTCATGTTTGTTGTAAAGAATAATCAAGATCAACTATGAAATTTTATTATCAAATACTCTTGTATTTGATATACTGTAATATGAAAATGAAGAGCTAGTTCTGATTTTTATTTACTAAGAAATATCCATGTGCTTGCTTGAGAATTGAACTTTCTGGATCCTTGACAATTGTTCAATGTTCATCACTATGCTATTTTCTTTGCACCAATATTCACTGAGTTATGTGTCTTAAAATGATTCACCTGATTTTTCTTGTACATTGATGATTAGAATAGAATGGTCAGAATCCTTCAATGATTCGATAAAATTCAATGAAATTTATATTGCAGATAGCCGAATGTGCGTGTGGATGATAAGGATGGTCTTCTCATCCATCGCACCGATACATCAACATCCATCCAAATCCACACCGAATCGAAGTTAATTCAGTTCGAACTCGTTATAAACATAGGTCAATTCGATTCGGATCCATCCCCTCCCATCCCATTTCTTATATGGAAACATTCATTATACAAAACTAGTCAAGACTTTTGTACCATCCTTTAGAGGGTTGGTCGATGAATGTTTTTTTATTGCGAATGTTTCAGTATTGTTATTGGAATTAATATTATCCCATTAATCTAAGGTCAAATGAATCGACCGTTCATCAACAATATTTGTTTTAACGTATGTTCGAAGTAGTGCTGATAGTTGAGCATTATTTATTTCGTCTTATAAAAGTATTGATTTTTAACGGTAAAGATTTTTTATGATCAAATAGCAATGATTCTAAATAAGTGAATTGTTTTCATTAAATTAAATATTTTCTCATAGTTAACGATGGAAATCTCTTTACCTGTCTCCTTTCCGGTTTCAATCGCTTTTTTTTATCCTATAGATACTACATAGTGTTCTAATGGATGTTCTAAGAGGATTTGGATTCCTATTTAGATTGTACTCTGGTATCGAAACGTTAATATGTCTATTTTCTCAGAGGCCTCTGTTTTTCGGAAAACTCATATTTTCGAATTTTGATCTGAAAATTTGTGCATATGAAGAACTCAACTAGACTAATTTCCATAAAAAAAATTCAGAAGTTTTGAACAAAGTCTCTTGAAGATACATGTTGCATAAACAATCCATGGAAAAGGAGTCTATGTTTCGAGAGTTTCATATCTTGAAGAGATTTCGTTCAAAATTGTTGGTTTTTTTTTAATGAAAGTTACTCTAGTTGAGTTCTTCATATGCATAAAGTTCCAGATCAAAACTCGAAAATACGAGTTTTCCGAAAACCTGGGACCTCTAGAAAATAGACATATTAAAAATTCGATACTATAGTTAAATCTCAATAGGAATCCAAATCCTTTTAGAGTTTCAGTTAAAACACTACGTCGTATCTATAGGCAAAAAAACATCATTGAAATCATCGGAAGGGAGCAACTGAAAAGATTCCCTCGTCAGCGACGAATCGTTATTGATAATGCACTAATGCATTTTGTTCTTCATCTACTACTAGATTGGTTAGCTGGTTAGTCAATAAAACTATAACTTTCTTTCTTTATATTATGAAAAATTCTTCATGTTATATATATCGAAAAATCTTTTCCGATGAGTGATAACTCGCCTTCATCGTCAACTGATGAATCAATAAATCAAAAAATTTCTTCAAATACCGGTAAACATATTTATTTTGATGAAGAACATGATGATAATGAAAATTTAACAACACAAAAAATAATTGAACGTCCAACACCATCAACAATTCGTTTTGATAGTAGTGATTTAATAACACGTTGTAAAGATTTTCTTCCATTATTATCAGATACAAATCAAAATTCAACAAATAAAAATGAAAATATTTCTTTAGAAAAAGATGATGAATTAAATTTTCCAGATATTGATGATAATACATTATCAGAAAAAAGTTCAAAAGAAAGTGGTGAAGCTTCAACAACAACAACAACTGATAGTGAAAAACAAAATGAAATAATTAAGAAAAAACGTAAAAAGAAAAAAAAGAAAAAGAAAAAAAAAGTTAAATTAAATGATGATTTAAATCAAGATAATCATGTTAACACTTAAGATTTAGTTTTTTAAATAAAGAAAAAAAAAACCAAGTATACATTTTCTTTTTTGTTATTCTAGATTATTCTTAACTCTTCAAAGTACGATATATCTTTTTGGTGAATACAAATTTTTGGTAAGTTTTATTTCGAAAATAATCTCTAGCGAAACTAACTTTGATAGTTTCAAATTGAAAGATTTGTCTAAACAGGAGAGAACCGAGTTCGTTTTTCAGAATATTATATTTCAAAATAAAGCATTTCCTCAATAAAAATGTTATATTTTTTATGGAAATAAGACTCAAATAATTGTAGGACTATACAACAGAGTTGTAACTGATCTAGAATTTTTGCACTGGTCCGGTCGATTTTGTTATTCGAGAATTCAAACGTTTAGTGGAACTTCACTAGTCAATTCGAATGTCAGAAGTAAATTGTCGTTCGAATTACATCTCATTCTGGTTGCATGTGGCTGACTCAATACTTGATATTATCGATCTCATACGGCGTTATATCGTGTAGTGTTTGTCTCCTTCCGTCAGTCTCTTATAGTTGACTCATAGATCAAATGAAAGCTTTTTCTAATGGCATATAGGAGTATAAACAAATATTGTTCTTTTGTTTTTAGATAAGATTATTCGCTTGTATGCGCAATCTGAGGACATCTATAACAAAATTCTCTCATTATTGAATTGTGAAAGCGCAGTAATCCAATTTGGATTATATATTATTCGATATGCTTTTCAAAGCTCGACTATTGCATTGAACTACATTTGCGAGTAACACGCGTTAGTCAAATGCACAATGTTCATGAATATCGAAAGTAGCCTTTTTTTGATGAATTTTAATAATAATAATCGAGTTTCCTATCAAATCAAATATTTGGTATTCGCATAAAAAAAAAATCTGAGTTAATCTATATGTATCCAAAAAATCAACAGGCAACTTTTGTTTTCATTCAAAAAGTTAGTCCTGGTCTCCCAGAATTACACCAAAAAATCAGTTTGATTATGAAGAATCATTTCTAAAATTTCAGAAAATCCAAAATGAGAGATGAATAAATAATAAAAATGCTATTTTTATTGACTTTATTTTTTGATGTAATTCTGAATGTGATCAGGCCTAACTTGTTAGACGAAAATAAAAGTTCCCTGTGGATTTTATAATACATATAGATTGATTCAATTTTTTGTGCTGATATCAAATATATCATTTGTTTTGATAGAAAACCTGATTATTCTAACCAAAATCTGTCAAAAATGATTACTTTTAACACTCATGAACATTGTAAGTCAACTAAAAGAATCTGAAGAAAGTAGACAAACACTACACTATATAACGCTGTGGAAGATTGATAATATCAAGTTTTGAGTCATTCGAAATGAAATCTAATTATCCAGTTCGAACAGCAATCGACTTCTGACATCTTAATTGACTATTGAGGGAATAATAAACTCAATTTTAGAGTGAAGAAGCCGATTTCATTGCTTAACAATCCTTATCATTTTCAAATACTCGAATAAAATGTGAAGATTATTTTGTTTTTTTTTTCGTAATTCTAAATAATCTCTGATAAAAAAAAAAGAAGTTGAATTTATATAATTAATAAAATGTCTAATTATTAATTTTTAGATAATTAATTAATAATGTCATCTGAAAGTGATGTAAATCCTAAAGCTTATCCATTAGCTGATGCTAAACTTACAAAAGATATTCTTGATCTTGTTCATCAAGCACAAAACTATGTAAGTTTTAATCATTTAATAAATTTTAAAAAATAAATTTCTTTGTTTTTCTTTTTAAATAGCGACAATTACGCAAAGGTGCAAATGAAGCAACAAAAACACTTAATCGTGGAAAAGCAGAACTTATAAGTAAGTTTCAAAAAAGACAAAGAATTTTATTTTTTCTCAAATGAAAACTTTTTATTTTAGTTATGGCTGCTGATACAACACCAATTGAAATCTTAATGCATTTACCATTATTATGTGAAGATAAAAATGTTCCATATGTATTTGTACGTAGTAAACAAGCATTAGGTCGTGCTTGTGGTGTAACACGTCCAGTTATAAGTACAAGTATAACTGTTAATGAAGGTTCACAATTAACACCACAAATTCAAACACTTAAACAAAATATTGAAAAATTATTTACTTAAAAAAAAGCAATTTCTTGTTTTTTTTTGTGCATGTGTTTTTGGTCTGTTTTCATCAAATAAAAAAAAAGAAAACATCTTGTGTAGGACAAAATATACATATTTTGTTAGAGTTCGAACAAATACAATATATAATATGTCTCAATGTATCGTTTATATCAAACAT